TTAGAGTTGTGAGTGGATCTTATACGGGTTTCTAATTTATTTATTTATTCGTTTCAATTGTTGAGTTATTGTGAACTTTTGTGATGTCTCTTTTTCAAATAAATGTTTCCGAGCAAGTATTCATGGCTCACTACGCTTCATCCTTCCGAATCTTGTTTAGATATGTAATGACAGCTTCTGTATACCAAACTTTTACTACGCTCTGATGAGCTGATAGTATCATAGGATTCCTGAGCTTCATGGTTTAATATCTTCTGTGTTTTCTTGTTGAATGAAACTCTTCAAGATATTTATTTAGCAACGTTTCGGTTCCTTAAGCCCTTCTTCAGGCTTACAATATACAGGGGGGCCAAAAAAAGTCACTTTGCCTCATTGACTTTCGAGGCGCTATAAATTACACTTTATCAAATTCTGATCGGACATTTTTACTACCATATTGAAGAGCACATTAAGTACTATCACGACACTCCGCCACAGCCTTCTGGACGAACGCCATCGAGAGATTCTGGCACGCGACCGCGATGTGGTACCTGAGATCAGCGGGGTAGTCGATTTCTCCGCCACCGTAGACCACCCTCTTGAAGTCCGCCCGAACTAGGTAATGAGTGGGTTCAGGTCAGGGGACATACTTCAATATTACATCTTCTTCAGGTACGAAACGCCCTTCCATTCGAAGTAGGCGGGAGTTTTTCCAAAACCCTTTGATTCCATGTGGTGGCACCCAAACCTGTAGCAGCACAAGGTCTCCAAGAAGGTACGGGCGACCACATGTAGGGAGGATATTCTTCTCGAGTTACTTGATGTAACCGCCAGCGCTCACCTTCAGTCGGGGTCTACAAAGAAAATATCGGTCTTCCCCTTTCCAGGTACCCCGGTCCATACCATCAACTCGCGCCTCGGCGAATACGGTGAAGATGATGTCCTAGACCGTAGCGAAGTTGACGAAGCTGCCCTCGCATGTGGCGCAGGTCTTGCCAGATCAAGAGTGCTGCCTCCAGGTAGCTTATCTGTGCGGATGACTTCATTCAAGAACAAAAATGTTTCGCAGCAGTTTCCAGGCTGAATTCCAAAGGTATGAAGTCATCTCAGTCAGGCCGCGACTGGAGATGACTTCATATTTTGGCGTACATGAAGGCGATTGGCGGCAGCCTGCTCCAGCTTATAGAGGAAGATCTTGGGTATCTTCCACTCTGGTACTCATATCCACTTCCCCTGTCTGGGCTGCGAAAACTTCGTTGATATGTGGCTCGGCCGAAATGACTTTTTTTTTGCCCCCCCCCCCCGTATACAACTATAATATCTACCGATCACACTTACCAGGGAGGTCGTTCAGGACGCGCAGCGCATGTTGAAAACGGTTTCTTGCGTGATGTAGGGTCACGTGCATGGAGTACCAAAGTGACGTTCATTTTTCCTACGCGCATCTGGAAATACCAAAAAAGGAGTGAAAAAGAAATCTATGGAAACCGTAGTTTTTGCAGCCTCGAGGCTTAAAATACTGGAAAACTTATCGACGCAGTTGCTGAGTGGAGGGTCCTTATAAAGGTACTATTGGAGTGGAAGAGGAAAATAGCCGCGAATGGGGTCTTACCTGAGGCACGTCATTGAGAATGAGCGGCTCTGAGCGGCTTGTCGGGCGGTTTCTTCAACGATCGTAGTGGTGTTTAGCCACAACGATCGCATGGCCTAGTGGATAGCGTGGAGGATTCTCAATCGGACGGTGAGGGTAAGGGTTGATGCGCTTCTATAAATGTCTGCTTATGAATTTTACTCGGGTTCCTACCATTTATGGGCACATTCTAAATTGTTATACCCACAAACAAGTGCCATTCAACAACCCGATTTCCACATACCATTAGGTAAGAGCTTCTCTCAAAGTTGATCTTTATATGTTATTTGGTGCCCTGATCACGACTATGGCACTCAATTTCAGCTGGCCGGTGCCATTTATCGCCAATTTGGAGCCAAATCATTCTCCCTCATTTGAGGGACTTTCAGAGCTATTCTGATGGCATCTCATTCTCTCATTGCCGACCATTTACATTTACCTTTACATTTACTATTTACAAGCATGCAAAAACCTAATTAACAACTGTGATAAATTCAACGAAGCAAGTGAAACAGAGACACCCCATCGGACCAGCTTACACCTACAAACGACAAAGAAGAGCAGTCATTGTCTTCTTGGCAAGGAACAACGACATCGCCTTCGTTGAAACCGTAGTCCGTCGGAGTCGAGAATGATCCGGGATGCTCATCAACATATCCTGCGGCAACCCAGGCGTATGCCAGACATGGACGAAACCTGGGTGCACAAAACTGGCGTAGGTCTGACTGATGATCTGCAGAGAAAATATCATTTGGATGTCAGTTATTACTGCCAAAGAAACCTTACTTTGAGAACGTTGTCTCTGCTGTATGCGAAGTCGCTCTGATAGTGCATTACGTGGTCATGAATGCGGCGGATGTATCGCTTGAATAGACCGAAAAAGTACACATCTAATGGCTGACAGAGGGCAGTTGCTCCCGCAGGGATTGTCATTAACCGTAGTTCTTTCCCTTGGGGCACCTCTGACAACACATTAGTGTGATCCGTAAAAGCGGCCCAGCTGTCGGCAAGGAGTATAGTGAATGGAGGGGACGAGGGCCCAACCACGCACTCCTTAACGAAAAATGGGACATGCGACTTCATCATGATGTGCGACTTCCCAAACGCCGGCGCAGCCGGGCCGTATCAGAAGGAGGCGCGCCGGCGTTAGCCGGCGAGCCGACTGGTATATAATATCTACCGATCACACTTAGGCATCACTTCTAGCTAAATTGAACAAGAAACTATTGGCGATACGAAATATGCGACTAACCGAATAGCAAAACAAGTGGTTTTGGTCCAGGGAACGGGTTCTTCCCAGGAGCCACGTGAACTATAATACTATTGGATGGACGCGGAAGGGGGAAGGCATATGGCGAGGACTCACCTATCTAGTTGTCCACTCTTGCAGAAATGAAGCAGCTAGATCGGTGGTGGGGAGGGTAAGAGTGATGTAGTGAGTTGCTTTGATGTTTTGATTTCTTTTGGAATTTCGGTAGTGGCAGCCAGATAATGGAAACTTTTCACGAAAGGTGGCCTAACAAAAGTAAAAATGTTGTAGAATGTTATGGACACCATCCAGCCTGAGGACTGCTCCTTCCAGAAGCGGCAGAGCTGTCCTTAATGAAATCGGAAGCAGCCATTGAGGCTGTTCATTTCGTCCATGACATCAAACTCTTTCGCTGCTTTGGAAACAGAAATCATAAGTGCTTCCGAGACTGCACACGCATACCCTAGCACTCTCACTCTGCTCCTGCTTACTTCCTCTGACGCCTCCTTCTGGTTCTGGGTCTGAGGGGTTCTGCTACCAGCTCATCGGGGTATGTGCGCAACATGTCCATCTGTATCTTAAGCGGCTCCTCGACTGCCCCAATACGCGATATCAAGGCAGGCGTCTCGAAAACGTCAAGCACTCGGAAAGGTCTATCTCACTCACATGCTAGTTTTGGGTGCTCAAATTTCCCTTTCTTTCGCATGGTAGTTTCATGGATCCTTCCGCACCTTAGGAAGTTTGCGCGCGTCCCATCTCATGACTTCCATCATCATACGCTTTGATTTTTCTCTGATAGAGTTGACGACATCAGGAGACAGGGCGGAATGAATGTTTATTGCACATTAGGCCTTATATAGTCTTATATCATCTCTGTCACTATCCTCTTCATTCTTCTGTCTTCTTCCACGTCCACACCATTCCATGGTGGTCATCCACCTAAAACCTCGGTGAACCACGCCTCCCCTTAACAGTCCCCCGCTTCGTAGTGACTTGTCTGGTCACTCTACGCGCTCAACCTGCCTCTCGGTATCACCCCACGCCAATTATCTATTCCAATTTTTATTTTCTGCATACACCAAAAAAAAATTTTCAAGTTCTTATATGGCTCCCGCTTCGCGAGGCTTCCTTCACTAGGCCTCGCCTCGCCTCGGTCTTCGGCCACATCGCGTTCCAACACCACCCTTCGGGAGGGCGTCCCGGAGCTAGAAGGCGAAGGCGCTTCATCATCGCGGGAGAGGGCAGCCCTCGCCCCGGCCATCTCCGATTTCGGCCACGCCGGGCGTACGCCCACGAACGGGGTGTACGCCGACCCATAGTGCGCCCGGCCTGAAGTAATCTTTTCTATTACACCCATTACTTGCCTAGAACCACTCAACTTACTGGCGCCATCACCACCACAGTGGGCGCGGACCCTGCCATTGCAGGGGGAGTACTCCATGTCGTCATCACCGGTGTTCCGGTAGGCGGGGGACCCAGAAACACCACAACAGGTGTACTCGGACACCCACTTCCCACCGGGTTGACCCCCGGTATCACTGCTGCCGCCGTCGACGTCGTTGCTTGCGGGCTCCACGGTACCAGTTGAATCCACGGTCCTGGTGTGTTCATGGTCGCTCTTCTGCGGCTCGTCCAAGGCAAAATGAGTCTGCTCACCCCTAGCAGAGTCTTTTATACATATCCCGTTATCGCTCCGGCAAGAGGTAACTCTTATCCCATTTATCTGTATCACTGACTTCTGTAATCTCGCCCTCTTCATGGCAAGATACTCTTTCATTTTTTCCGTTGTCTTGCGTTTGCGGCTAGACCTCCTAGGTATTCCCGCTTGTACTTCGGTTCGTCCTTCCCCAGGGTGTCGTTCCAGTTCCCCTTCTCTACTCGGCCGTCTATCCCCCAACTTTTGGGGATCCTCCTCCTCCCAAAACGACACCCTTTTCTTCAACTGGTCAGCATGTGCCATACGACTTCCGGTACCATGATGCACCCTATACGTATTCGATCCAACCACCTCTAAGACTATTCCTGGTACCCATTTCTCCAATTTATTCCCATAGTTCCGCAAGTATACTTGCTGTCCTACCTCGAATTTCCTCTCGCTTACTTTTTTATCGTACTGCTCCTTCATCCGTCGCATTTGCACCGTTACTTCCGGGTTCCTCGGCGTTTGAAAACATCTAAGGTCGTCCTTAGCGCACGACCCATGAGCATTTCCGCGGGTGACATTCCCGTCGCGGGATGCTCCGTTGCTCTATACCTAAACAATAAATCTCTAACTATTGTGTCCACCGCTTTTGCGGCTTTCCTACCTTTATAGTACGCTTTCTTAAAGGTTTGTACAAACCTTTCCGCTTCGCCGTTTGAGTTATGGTGGTACGGCGGAATAAACGTCAACTCTATATTTCTCCTTTTGCAATACTCCTTAAATGCCTTAGCTATGAATTGTGGCCCATTATCCACCACAATTTGCTCCGGGAGGCCATGCGTACTAAAAATATCTTTTAATTTCTCTATCGTTTCTCGACGGTCGTTCGTGCTCATAGGCAACACTTCAGGCCATTTCGATTTTGCATCAACTACTATTAACCACCTTTTACCATCCGTGGTCTCTCCGAAATCCATATGAAGCCTCTGCCAAACCTTGGCCGGCATTTCCCAAGGATGCAACGGTGTACGTGTCATATCGTTTCCCATCGTTGCACATATTTCACAAGATTGCGCCATTTTTTGTATATCCATATCTATACCAGGGTACCACACCTTCTTTCTAGCCAACGCTACCATCCTATTCCTCCCATAGTGGCTACAATGCAAAATCTCTAACACCCGTTTCCGGAATCTATGCGGAATAACTATTCGACTGCCTCGCATTAAGCAGCCCTTATACGCATTAATTTCTGTTTTGCACCTTTTATAAGGTTTTGATTCCTTTTCCTGAATCTTTTGTGGCCAGTCCCGCATTACATAAGTATACACCTTCCGTAGCGTCTCGTCCTCCTGGGTCGCCTTAGCCACCTGATCTTCATTTAAAATAATTTCCTCCCAAGTTTCAGCCATCATCTGTTTCTCTGCCACTTCATCGATCACCATTTCCGAACTCGGCAGTTCTCTCGGATCCGGTAATCTAGATAACCCATCCGCATTTCCAAATTCGGAGGTCTTTCTGTACTCAATGTCGAATGAGTATATCATCAGGCGGAGACTCCAACGATGCAAGCGTTTCGCTGCTATTGTTGGTATGCCATTTTTGGGTCCAAATATTTTTACTAATGGGGTCCCGCTAACTAAGTGTAACTTGCGTTCCGTCCGTTAGGAATTGGTTGTAATTTCTCATACCCATGTACTTATACTGTAATGGCTTACCCTCCTTTTCCTATCTGGAATAATTTCTGCTCTGCACTTTGTTAATGTTTCGTTGATGCATACGCTATCAACTTTTTCTTACCATCTCGGCCATCTTAGTGTCATACAACCAAAACCTGTATTCTATACACCTAACCCGTATCTGAAGCAAATCTGTTGCCGATACTACTGGATGTTGCAGGACCATAATGAAAAACGTCCCTGCTTTTGCAAATTATATCGCCGTTTTGATTTTCTTTTTGAATGCGCTTTTCTTCAGCTTCTTTCCCTTCGGACGGCCCTCTTTTTTCCCTTAGGTCATTAAGTGGTACTGCTAAAATGGACAGATTTGGGATAAATTTGCCATAATATTGTACCATTCCTATGAAAGACTCAACTTCTTTCAAATTTTTTCGGTTCTGGCATATTCACCATGGCCTGCACCTTCTTTGGCGAGGGTCTAACCCCTCTGGAATCTACAATATGTCCTAAAACTCCATTTCTTCTGAAATTCAACTAATTTTTCCTCTGTCAACCTGACCCGGCCTCCCTCAATTTTTTAACACCTGTAACGTTCTAAAGCCGGGTCCACGATCGTCTGGAGCTGTCACTGTGATGTCATCTTAAAAATATATTTAATTATCCTTCTATCCCGCCAAGCGTTGTCCCCATTAATCCTATTGGAATATTGGCGGAGATAAGATGCGATGCCAAATGGCACCCTATTATAGACGAACATTCCTTTGTGCGTGTTTATCGTGGTATATTTCTTAGATTCAGCCTCTAATTCTAGCTGCATATAAGCATCCGATAAATCCATCTTGGAAAACTTTTGCCCACCGTTTCAACATATGAAACAAATCATCCTGCTTCGGTAAGGGGTACTGATTGATATCTACACAGTCGTATTTTACCTCCCGGCTTTGGGACCACCACTAACGGTGTTGCCCACTCTGAATGTTCGACTCTCGTCAATGTCCCGTTCTCCACCAGTTCCTGGAGCTTCGCTTCTACTTTTGGTCTCAGGGCAATCGGGACTGGTCGTACACGGCAAAATTTGGGCTTCTCAAACCCTTCCTTCAGCTTAAGCGATACCCTAGCCGTCGTACATTTACCCAATCCTTTCTGAAACAGCACCTGGTTTGCGAGTAGTATGCTTTTTATCTTTTCTCGCAACTGTTCTTTCGTATAACACAACTTTGGATCTATGCTCTTGACGTATGGTCCACAGTTGATTTGCAATCTCCTTATCATGTCCCTACCACATAATGGGTGGTTGGCTGTGTGTAAAACATAGACTACCATCTCTTCAGAACGTCCCTCAAACTCTACCTTCATTTTACACTTACCATCAAAGCTAATGGGACTATTGTTGTACGCCATTGCTTCCAATTTGGTCTCCTTTAATTCTGGTTTGCCTACCTTCAACCATGTGGCTTCATCGATTATTAGATACTGAGGCTCCCGTATCTAATTCGAACTCAACCGTGCTTCCATTTACTATCAAGGGAAGCATGATAGCTGGTTCAATTTCTATCTTATGTCTCGCCTTCAGTCGGTCGTCTATGCTCATCGACTTGCCGTTATCACCATCTCGCGTATGCCGTATCTCCTGCGAGGTATGCGCACGATTCTGGTATGTCCTTACCTGGACCGTACTCACGGTTAGCTCCTCATCTTCAGAATCGTCAGGCTCCGCGCACCAATGTACTTGGCGGGAGACTTTAGTCGGGAACTTCTTCATCCGACAAACTTGGGTAAATGCCCAGGCCGTGAACATGTCGCACAGAATGCTTTCGTCCTATGAAAGCA